AAAATTGTGCGCCTGGAAGATGGGGTGTTTGCAGGGCGCAGGCAGTCTGACTGTGCACAGGCTGCCCTGCAGACCACTTCTGATGGTGTCCAGAACATTGAGCACAGGCTGTTGCGAATGGAATCCCTCATCTCGGGAGTGGTGGATACTCAGAGTGACCTGGAGACGCAGATGCAAAAACACACCGAACAGATAGTGGACATCGTCTCGCAGGACATGCCCCTCCTGCAGGAGATCGAAAGGCGGCTCCCGAAGCTGCCGATGAGGAAGCCGCCAAGGGAGGCTTCACAAGAGCAGCAGGCACAGAGTCAGTCCGCCACGTCGTCGCTGCAGTCCCAGCAGGCCCCGACACAGCCGACGGGAGTGCCAACTACACTGGGACCCCAGATGCCACAACCGCAAGTGATCCCAGTGGAAGTTCAGACACCGAACACGGGGATACAGCTTCGCCTTGCTGAGCATGTTGGCTCAATGACCCAACAGCAGCCCCGGCTTTATGTTAGCCAGGGAAACCAGCCGCAGAACTTCCTGATCACCCCGGTTCCGGCACAGAGCTCGAACGAAGTTCTACTGGGCAACTTGTTGGCTGGCCAGAGGTGAGCTCATAACTCCAAACCTTTGTATGAACTTTTGTGATGTTTGTTGGTTGTTGTGACATGAGCCGGCCACATGCAGCCCACTGTAGATGTATGCTAGTTTGATCACCGCCTACCTGTCGTGCTGCTACTGCACCTTTTGTAGGTGGTATGTACAATGAACTCAAATGATGCCTCTGAATTGTCTGCGCCTAATTACCCTAATTCCTCTCATGGACCCTTAATTGGTGCATCGCACCGTCGACTGAATCAAGTCTGCATCATGACACCTTAATTCGTAATTTGTAATTTTTGCTGCATGTTTAATGTCTGCAACAAATGCAACTGTGTGTCAACGGAATGTCGGGTCCCTCTGCACTGCACGCTGGCCTACAGACAAGGGGGCAAGCTGAGTCTCGAAGTCTTCCGCACAGTGTTCCATTTCAAGAGACAAAACAGAGTCAATGCATACATGAGTTCAGTGAAGCTGTGAGTTTGGCACATGTCTCTGCTGAAGGTACAGGTAGTCGCGCGTATCTTGGTTTCGTCCATGCATGTGAAGCATGATGAGCGCCGTTGTGAGCTGCCCGAAACCCCAAATCGCTGCGTCTGTCCGCCACACTACATGACATATAACTGTACATCTATGTCGACTTTCCTGGCCCAAACATGGACATGCTAGGTGACCACGCACACCAAAAGTCGTGAATGTGGAACTGCAGTAATGGATGTCCCTGCCCCTGCCCCACAAAGTGGCTCGAACACCACGAGTCACACCACGAAGGTGATGGAGAGTGCTGAATCCACATGTCCTTTCAGTGCAGTCTTTACACCACATGAGACCAACATCATTTCGAAAGCCCTGCAGGTGGATAATAGACTGTGTGAGTCTGAGTTGCTCTGCTATGCTGCTAATAAGAAGGCGGATCGCAAAAGAAAACCAGATTGAGCGATGTGACATTTGTGATGCCTGGAATGCAGTTCCACTCTCCTTTAAGACCCACATTAGGAATGCGGAGTCTGACCCAACAGACAATCCTCGTGTGCTGTACTTTGGTGCGAGTCCTAGGTCCCTTACTTGCTGTCTTACGGGCACTACCAATCATCCTCAGCTGCGACAGTTAATCCTTCGATTTATTGCCCAACATGCGCCGCAGTTTCGTTTTTCAACCTTTGCGTTAAGGGAAGATGCCCGAGTTGGTGCACACAGGGACACCAAAAATGCTCCCACGGGCACGCTTTTTCAGGTTTTGTCGGATGTTCAGGGGGGTGGCCTTTGGATTGCTTCAAGGGAGGGTACTGCAGTCTTCCATCATCAAGGGACCAAGTACTTTGGGTTTGAAGTAGAAGCAAAACGGCGGCCAGTGATCTTTGACGCACGAACACGCCTTCATGCCACCAAAGAGTGGCAAGGGAGGCAGAGACTTGTACTGGTCGCATGGAGCGTTGCCCAAGTTTGCTCCCTACATCCTGACGTGAAGCATGAGCTCCTTGAGTATGGTTTCCCGTTACCCGGTCCCTGTGATGTTGAGTGCATTGAACAGTGGGATGAGTCTCCCCCCAACAGTCCCAGTAAAAAGAAGCTCCGACAGTCGACGATTACAGATGCACTGTGTGCACCACATGACTCAGGGGCTACTTCACATCCCTCGGGTCTGTGTTTGCGTGGTAGTCTAGTTGTTCACCACATTGACTGAGACGTGGATGGAAGTGGCACCCTGCTGCTGTGAAGGCTGCCTTCAGAGTGGATTGGCACCACAACTTCTTAGGGGTATACTTTTGCTGTCGTAAGCCCTAATTGTCGTCCCTCGCCCTAAATAGTGTGCCTTGAACCTCTGTGGCGCCGCAAACAACAAATTTAATTGGCTAAATGCCGTTGCATGAATTGACACTGAATTCGTAATTTGTAATTTGTAATTCCTGCTTCTGAGATGGGGGCTTGCCCCAGTTGCTTAGTTCCCTGTGGTTTGTGCTCTGGTTCGGGGAAGGATCCACGTTTGCTGTGATGGTCTGAGTGATTGGGATCCTCTGTTTCGCTGGGTTTAATAAATGGGGGCCTCACTTTCGATTTTGGACTTCCGTCAGTTAAGGTAAGCGTGGTGGTGAGGTACGATGACTGCGAAGATGATGCCACTGCTGCTACACCCTTGCGGGATGCGGGATTGGCACCCTCCTTTCCCTAATAGTTGTGTTTTCAGATACTTGGTCATTATCTTGGGGCTAAGTTCTTTGTTATCCTTGTGGGCTATGTCTACTGGTTCATGTTACCTGTTCCCCGTTTTGTCGTCCTTAAGAAACCACCAACCCCTGCGACTGTGCCTAAGCCATGGACAAACACTGGGAAAAAGTTGGCTGGACATGAAGCTGTGGTCACTGGCATAAACCTGAAGACAGACAATGCGACAAAGAGACGACTGGACATCAGGCTGTGGTCACTGGCACAGTGAATACAGTATTCGACTTTTGAGCTGGAATGAATCTGGACTGGAAAGACGATGGCAACCAGTCAAAGACGCTGGCTTGAGAAGTGGGGATGTATCCATTGTTGTTACGACTACAACTGGGATGCAGTGTGTTGGGATTCTGCAGTGGCTGACCTGTGACGTGGCAACAGACAACATGTTTTTCTGGATGCGTGACAACAAAAACTGCTGGCTGAGAAGTGGGGATGTATCCATTGTTGTTACGACTACAACTGGGATGCAGTGTGTTGGGAGTCTGCAGTGGCTGACCTGTGACGTGGCAACAGACAACATGTTTTTCTGGATGCGTGACGACAAAAACTGGCTGGAATGTGGCACTACCTGCGCAGAGTTTGTTCTGGACAGATGTGCATACATGTTGACGTCCGTCTGTCCCAACTTACGGCTGAGTTTGAGGCTCTATCTCTCGCTGGACACTGTCAAAGCTGAGTTATGTGGTCGGTTGATGACTGCAAGTGCTGGCGCAAACCATTGCATCAAACAACAAACTATTTTGGCAGTTGGTAACCAACATCGCTGTCGGTGTCCTGTTCACAATGCTGTGAAAGACTGTGGCACATATCATGAGAAGTGAGAAGCGACATGGAGTGGCCTTGTCTGCAACGATGGTGGAGATAAACTGACGTATGATACATGCTTCCTGCATGTCGAGACATAATTGTCTTCACCTGTAAGTGGACCGATGCAGCAATAGCGAGGATGATGACCTGACATGATACGTGCTTCTGCATGTCAAACAAATCTGGTCCTCACTTGGATTGCTGCAAAAAGTTGATCGATGGAAACCAGGGAATCTTTGGATTTCTTGGTTTGTGTCGGAGAGAGTCACAACAGAGGCTTGCAAGTCTGAGCGCGTAATTACTTGCATCATTGCATACCAAGTGTCCAGATGCATGGAATAATGGCCTGATGTTATGATTCTGCGGTGCCTGCATGCAAAGACCTGCATGACTTTCAACCTTCTACATAATTAGTAAATGGCAATCGTGAGATACGCTGGGAAACAGCTGCAACTTTGGAAAAGCGGCATTTTGCCGCGTGTACTTGACTACCTCTCTCTTACATTGAGAGCGGCCTGTGCATGAAAAGAGCTCTGTCAATATGAAGGAGCTGAATTCACCGACATGTAACCTATAACCCTGCTTCGCGACTCGCTCAGCCATGTAGGAGGCAAAAATGGGCAGTGCCTGGAAGCCGTGCCTGCCTTGAGGGAGTGTGCGAGTCGAAACTATGGCCAGAGCATCCGGTTTTCGGCTTGAAGCGACGGCTCCTGCAAACTCTTTGGGGGAACAGTGCAAACAAGCAAAGTTCCAGCTGAAACAAGCTGGCTTGTAACCGCCTGTACCCAGGATCGCCAGCTTTCTCGTGTTGTGAAGCCGAACTTTTGCATTAAGAGTTTGTTCCGATCCTTGCTCTTACTGCACGCTGAGCTATACGTGTCTGCAGCTGCAGGTCCTGCAATGCATCGGTGTGGAAGCATCAGATGCTCGGCTCCGTTCCGGTAGGATGCTAAACAGGTCTCATAGTTACCTTTGGGATCGGCTTGGTCAGTTTATGACGATGGCGCACGAAGGATGCGAGTCGCCTGCTGGGCGCATTGAAGTGGCAAGATGACTCTGACACATACTCGCTCAACTTGTTCTTGGACTTCCTGTACAGTTCAAAACAATGAGAAGTTCGTGGAGCCTGGTCTCCAACTGCTTTGATGAAACGTCAAAGCAATTGTCTGTGCATGTCCTATTCCTAGAGTGGCACAAGTTCAGATTCACCATTGATGGAATCCGCGCCTTGGACTACAGAGACACTCACGCAGTGAGAATGTCCGGTCGCTTGCGCTCGTAATTCAGGACAATGATTCGGCTTGTGCTCTGACTGTTGTTACGCAAGTACACGATGTACGTCAGCCGGCAAAGTCTGCAACAGCATCGCAATTGCTGGGTAGGTGGAGACGAGTCTTTGTCAGCCAACTCGACAGCCCGGTTCCCAGAAGACTAGCACTGCTGAACAGGTATCCGAGCAGTGACGTTGTAATTACATGCGGGATCGATAGGACAGGGAGTCGCTGGTTGTCCATGAGCAGTCCTTCCTCAAAGGAGGCATACCAGTCGAGTCGGTGCTTATAAACTTATGTCATTATGATCCATGGCACTGAGGTTCTTGATGCCTGGGAGCGAAGGCGGGCACTCTTTGGTCGAACCACGGGCTGTGGCTCGAATCGTTCAGGTCGAAGTTGGCCTGCAGCTTTCTCAGGAGTTTCTGCTGGTTCGCGCGTAATCGAAATTGATGTAGCAGGGTGTGGCCAGCCGAGGAATGGCAAACGCCGTCGCAAGTTGCAGCACTGTGCACAGGCTCAGGCCTACGCTCATTGCCAATCCAAGTGAGGCTTGAGTGTCAGTTAGAGATTGGTTTTGACTTGCTCTCCGGGATGCACCGATTTGGCATGTTCATCTCGCCATGATTTCGTTGCATAGCAACTGTACAGGTGCCTCGCTCTGGGAAGGCCTTGCCGCAGCACCAGATCGATCAGGAAACTTGCCTTCACGAGGCAAACCTGACAAGTCCTTGCCAAGGTTTTGCTTGCCAAAGTGCAGTGATGCAGGTGCAACTCTGCGGAAAGCACTCCGTAATGTTGCTGGCTCCTCTACATCTGACACGAAACGCCCTCATGCATTGCCAGATCGGCCGCACCATCTCAGGCTCCGCCGGTGCAGGCAGCCGCAGCCAGGCCCGCAGGTACAGCTGTGAAGGAGTTCTATGGTCGATGAATATGATTCGTGCAACTTCCAAGCAAGACCCTCCGGCTCGGGCAGAAGCGGCGAAAGTGCTTTCCACACGAACTCCTCCACGCACTGGCTCAGGTTGAGAGGCTGGCATCCTGGCGTAACAAAGCAGCTGAAATCGCTGATGTGTCTCGGCCTCGGGCGATGCTGACTTTGTCCCTCTGCTGTTTGGGTCCTGCATCTTCGCCGGAGTGGCAGTCCTTTGCAAGTGTTCTTCACAGTGAAAGAGAACGGAGACTAAAGTGCCGCTGCTTGTGGACAGAACACACAAACAGGCTTGCGGCACCACAAGCGTCCTCGTTCCTTCAGCCAACTGCTCGTGGTAAAGCAAGGGAGCCAGGACCATGGGCGATCGCAAGTCGCAAGCTCAAGAGTTTTCTCCTTTGACCGTCTCCCGTTGGAAGATTCTGAATCGGGAACCGGAAGCTTGACGACGTATTGTTGTCATAATTTGGAGAGTTGTTCGGCACAAACGAAACGGGGCATAAGAAGATGCACGCGTACAGTACGACTACAATAGCTCCATGTGAGTGTGGCAGAGCGATGCCTCTGCATCGGCAACTGCATGGACAGCAGTGATGGATGCACTTGCCTCTCAGAAAGCTTGCGTAGAAAGAGCTCCGAGTCGGACAGATTTCCCAGTGTTTCCAACATGGTAAGCTTGGCCTTTTGTGCTGTGCATGTTGTCGGCCAAGAGGTCCCCACAGTGGGCTGGAGTCTTAGAGAGTGCGAGAGAGGAAGGGGAAGCCCTCAAACAAAGAAGAGGAGGAAGAGGAGTGTGTACCTGTCGCAACTCACTGGAGGTAGTGCCAGACAAATTATTGGCGAGAGCAGCGGCAGCTTCCACCGCGGCGGAGGCATCCAACACAGCACTTGGACATGTTTGGGCCATGTTCCGTGAGAGGCAAGCTGTCCAAGGTCGCTCAAACTTCCTCTGCCACCAATTATGGAAGCTTGTGCAAAGAAAGCTTCGTTGTGACGCCAAACCCATGGTATGAGAGGATCTGATTGTCATAACATGCTTCCTGTCGCTTCGAACCTTCATCCCTTTACAGCTTCGAAGGGGTTGTCTCGGAACCTCGACCATTTCAGAGCATGCTTGCGCAGTTCCGGTGATATACAAATTCATCTTTTTTCACTTGCCGCGGACATACACTTTTCATCTTGTTTCATTATGTTTCATGTTTTCGCTTATGTGTCGTATTGTCGGGCAGAAACTGTATGTTTGTGCCGTAGACCCGTCGTGCACTTTTTCTCGCCGCATATACGCTACAATGTATAGATGTATGATTTAATTTATCGGAAGCCTCGCTCACATTCAGAAACTTCAAAAGGTTTGCTTGGCATGAGTCGTGTGGGTGGCTGTCTGGGTGACTTCCAGGCCCGCACTGTGTTGGACGAAGTTCTGGGGTTGGATCTGGTCGTCGATCCCGATGTCGAGCACGCGCGAAGCTCAGCTGCCGGTGGCAACCATGCCCCCGGAACAAATTGCCGGCTTTTCTTCGCGCACTGCGGTGAATTGTTTGGGCACTGTGATCTACTGAGTAATCTACTGCTTATCTCCATTAGCTAGCAGTCCTGTCTCTCGCGTATTTGGTGCAGGTTGCGTCCAGCTGAATCTTCCCTTATTGGGGTCAGCCCTGAGATGCCCTGAGCACTCTCAGAAGAGCGGAATAGCTGCAAAGACATCGGCGATTCAAATTGGGCTTGCTAACGCCTCTCTAAACTAGTTTTGATGAGTCTCAAGGAACGGCAGGTTCATGCGTCAGCTCTCTGTGAAGAGCCCTGTTGATCGAGCTTGCCCTCCCGGCAGTTGAAAGTGCCCTTTTTGCTAGAGCCGTTTGGCAGCATTCGTGGTGATTACTTAGTGTGCACGGAGTTTTCTGGCACGCATCCTTGCAATTTTCTGTTGTCTCGACTTGGTCTTGGGTGACAAGCACTTCTGGATCACGACTGTTACCTCAGACGTTTAAGTTCCATGATATATCTCCAGCAAAACGCTGGAGATAATGCACTTAAGACAAGTAGGCAACAGGAAGGGATTGGTAGGGACAGGTACAAGGCACGGGGATAGTGTACTGCATATAGTGTAGGCACAGGGAAACATAAGGAATCACTCGTAAAGCTCGTCCTTGTGATGCTCATGCTGGTCTCTTTGCGAGGCATTGGCGCTGTGCGCAGGTATTGCAAATCCCACGCCATGCAACCGCACGATACCACCGAATCCTGACATGGCGGTACTCCAAACATAAAAGCCCCTGCAGGTTGAGCCCCTGGCACGTGTGTGAGCATCATGCAACCTAAGGCTTTGACCGGAGACGCTCTGCAGGCCCTGCTCGTGCCAGCTGTATCGAACCATGTGCCTGGCTGATCAGGTGGCCCGACAGGCTCACCTCACAGAGACTTCGCTGTCAGAGCTGCCGGCAAACCCAGCTACTTGTAGTCTTGTAGAGCTTCGCCCGCGACACTGCGTGAAGCGCTCCTGGACGAGGCTCGAGCACTTGTCAGCGGCACGTCAAGTTCACCGCATTCAGGATGCGCAGGCCTGACAAACTGCTCATGCATGAATGCGGCTGCTGGTGCAAATGTTGGGCTTTGGCAAAAGCCTTCCTATCTTCTACATCAACCTGCCGGGACTTGCTCAGCAGCAACCTCCTCGATTGCGCAAGACATGGACTTACAACGCAAAAATTGAAAGCTTTGCCTGCGGGCCATCGTCCGTCGTCACCCGCTGCACTGTGCAGATCAGTGCAAACACTTAAGGAGCCCACAGTCGACAGGACCTTAGGAACCCATGGCGGCTGGCAGCCGCTTGAACCACTGCCTCATGGAACTGACGAAGCAGTGCCAGGATGTCCTCGAGGATCTGTGCCGAGCCGCGTTGGTGCCTTGTTGAGTCTCCGCGCTAGCAGCTGCACAGGAAAACCGGAGGCTGGCGACGGAGGTGCAAGAGCTGGCTGGAAAGCTGCGTGAGGCAAAAGGAGGTCCGAAGGAGCTTGGCTGTTGGATTTAGCGTTCCTCCTTGTGTGGTTTGTGATGACGAGCCTTCTTGATGGTAAACGTTTCCCAGAGTTCAGATCAGGAGTCGTTGGAGCCAGAGGTGCTCGAGATCGATCATCCCTTTGCTCCAGGCACCGTCGCAGCCACTCTAGTTTCGAGCTGAGCTGACCACGGCAGCCTGACAGCCCATCATGCCCCTCTGCAGAAGCCGTGGTTTCCAGAACGACCAATGGCCCACGTGTATCCTTCGACCACCTTGTTTGCCACTTGCCTGCGAAGATTTGCGTGCACTACTGGAAGAGACTGTCGTTTGAGGCTGCACGCTTGAGGGCACCGTGTCGACACTCAAAGTGCACAGGGGTGTCTTTGTTTGTTTGCATTCTTTTTTTGGAGTTGCTTTGTTGTTTAGTGCCCAGCTCGACGGCTTGACTTCAACCCACCAAGGCCCCGTGCCCCGCCTGGAGAGTCCAAGAAGATAGTCTTGACTGCATTCGAAGGCACAAAGCCAGCTTGGGATGAATCCACTTCCAAGTCTCCGAGCCCCACGAAGGCCAATGCGAACAGAGTGGCGTGGCAGCACTGGAGAATAGAACTCCGTATACGCAGCGGAAAAACATGCCCCTCGACTCCAAGGTAGCTTCGGACCCAGGCGCAGATGAGGGACCACCAGAGGTGGAAACATTGTCTGGTTTGAGGACTCCCCACATGAACCATTCGGCGCTTCCGAAGCACCTGACCTGTCAGGATTGGTATGTTGAAGAGTCCCACGGTATTCCCCGGAGAGTGACTTGCAAGCAGCTCACGCGCTGCAGGGTCGTGGCAGCTCCAGCAATGCTGATAATGTCTGAGGAAAGCACCCTGGAGCATGCCAGAGCTGCTGCAACTGATCCGTGGAGAATGCTGTGCAGCACCAGGCACGGGTGTGCAACAACCCCGATATGGCCTTGGTCGAATATTGTGCACAAGACGACATTCAAAATCCAAGGGTCTGAGAAGCCGACTAAACTGGTAGCATGTACCAGAAGTGGCCGGCCGCGTTTTGCTTTCAGGCCGCGGAAGCATCGCACAACGCTTCGCCGATGGTATGCTGTTCAGGACCCTGTGCGTACTGGCCATTGGAGTCGCTTGGAAACCAAAGGTTTGCTGCTGGACTTGTGCTGCACATAAGCCGCCCATCCAAGGCGAACACTGTTTATATTGGCCTCCTGGCAGGATCACATGCATGTATAGCCGGCATCTTAAGGCACTTCACCATCCAGCTGAGGATATGTGGCAGATGCCCACCTGACGAACAGCTACAACCGTATGATGGGAGTCTCGGAGACAGTTGTTTTTAGGTAACGGCAGTTCAGGCAATGATCCGGAACACATGCCGACTTGAATGTGCCCTTCGGCACTACTGCCCAGGACTGGATCATTATCAGCCTGCTGTCTATCCGGACGTTCTTTTTGCGGTGTGGCCCCGTGCTCGAAACGTTGATTCCCCTTGATCCAACAGGGCTTCAAGCTCTTCCAAGCCCCCAGCGCATAGCATCCCATAGCGCCATCGCGTCTGGGACTGGCATGGCCCCTCGGCCCCTCAGCTCCGAGGTTCACCTTGGAGCTGATGGTGCGCATTCTCGCAGAGAAGGTGTCGTTCTTCACAGGTGAAGAGACTTGGCTGTAAGAAAGTACGCGCTTCTGCTTGCTGCCCAAGTCGTGGTCCATTCGGATGTTGAGGACATGTGGTGGAACGTGTTCGATGTCTTCCTGGCTACATGCTCGGTTTTTGGTTGGTGTTCCTGTGTGCTCATGCACATGTTGAATGAGTTTTGATGACGCATCTCCAGGTTTTGAACGCCATCATTGAATTGTCGGCCCCGGAGGGCGTGATAGATTTGCCGCAGCCTAAGCTGCTTCAATCTTGTCGTTGCATGCTGCTGGCCTTACCGCTGTTCAGAAGTAGAGCTGGCAGAATAAATCAAAGCCGAAGCTCCTCCCAGCTTTGCTTACAGCTTCGCCCGGAAGGGACGTCTCCCCTCCCCTGGCTGCGGTCGTCCCTGTAAGCCCGATGCGTAAGCCGAGGTCCTTACTGCGAGTCTTCCGTGTCTTCCGACTGGTCCGCGTGGTAAGAGTGGTGCGAACAGCTCCTCGACTGAACGTCGTGATAGCAACGAAAGGTACAGATAGAGCCAAGAGAAGTTGGGTGTCATTTGCCATGAGGTGGAGACTCTTGACTCTTGAGTTGGGTTACGCTCTCATGTTGGATGATCCCAAGATGTTCCAAGGTGAAGGCTTTGAGGAGCTTGCGTACAATGCTCTTCGCAATGCTGAATTCCTTCGCTGCGACTTGGGCCGACCCACTGGATGCTGACACCAGTGATACACCACCTTCAACATGATGCTTGCATTCTTTCGCCAATGGCCGCCAAGGCCCTCCTGTGGGCCTTCGTTTTGATCGGCATTGTCATGCAACATCGATGCATCAAGACCCATGTGACCCATGAGGAGCATTCGAGGGATGCCGGACTGATCACATCGCCCCTTGCTTAGGTTCGTCTTCAGCGTCATTTTTGATATGGCGATCTCATACTCTTATGATTCAATGGATCCTAGTAACATTGGCGACAGAGCGGAGGTCGAGAGGCCGGGCGCACAATTGCAATATGCAGATGCGAGCGTGCTGCTGGATGCCTGCAGGATAAACAGGTACTTCTCCACGCTCTTTGACACGTGACATGGCAGCAGTGGGGCTTTGTTGTGAAGATCGCTTTACCGATGTCTGACCATGCTGAGGATGGTTGCTCTTTTCTGCTCCATCACTGGAGGAAATGACTGGTGGATGTATGCGGAACTTTTGCGAGGCATTTACTTTGGAGAGGTGTGTCTTGGCTTTTGCAAACCAAAAGTGTTTGTGAGGTTTCAGTGCGCTGCTCATGTCCTGGCTCAGGTATTTCCTGCTATTTGCATTCTACGTCGGATTGAGTTCGATTGGCGTCTTAAATGTTGTCTGGCCCTTAACAACGACCTTGCCTCGGCCTCGGCCCTCTGCTAAGCCGGGCTCTGCTGCAGAGCGCTGAGGTAACAGGGATTTTTGTCGACAGTGCGGTGTGCACTCGCACAGAGGACTCTTGTGAGCTCCGGCTCCGGCTTCGGTGATTGTAAAAGCTCTGAGGGGGTGTTCGCCGATACTCATGAAAGGGCCGGGAGGTGGCTTTCTCTCAGAGAAGCCCATGCGGATTCTTGCAGCTTGCCACTTGGGATTTCCACGTGGCTCACTTTCATGCGCCTTTGAAGTTCACAAGCTCGCAGCCTTTCGGCAGGATGAGGTGGTGGAGTCCTGGACGGAAGACCAAAAGAGAACTGCAGATGAAGTCAGGAGAATCTTCAAAGAGGCCATGCCAAGCAATTTACATAGCCTTCCGCCGTCAACTCACATTTGCCTTTTGCACAAACCTGCACCCTGCAGGCAGATCGCAGCTCAATCGCATAAGTGCAAGGACCCCTGAATGCATTCGCCGGCAGAGGTGCCATGTCATCCAAGGAGACATGAGTGGTTCCATGACGTACAGGGAGCTGGAGAACCATTTGCAGAACCCCTGGGTCAAGGCATACTTCTCGGGTGGCTCTTCTGCAGATCAGTTGTTGTTCCTTAATTTCGCATTGCCTGATGAGCCCTTACAAAGTCTCAACTCGGTGTGCCATTGAAGAGTAGTGTAAGATCGGGCATGGGCCCAAGGCCGCAATGGCTGTTGCTTTCCCGGGCCCCCTGTCATTTCCCCAGCAAGCGCCTTCTCAGTAACGTTCGGAAGTTTACAGCTGCGAGATCGCAGTAGTGAAACGAGAGGCAAGATGGTTGACCAGCCCAGCTCGCAGAAAAAATCCAGGACCACCGTGGATGAAAGTGCCGTTCTGTTACAGTAGCTGCTGGCTATGCGAACCGTGTTCGGCCCCAAACCAACCGTAGGTGCTCCGAGCAGACAGGCTGGAAAGTTGAAATCTTCCTTTTGAGAACTTCTTCTGTGTGGTAAAGCAGTTTTAGGTAACCTGAAGCAGATTATTGCCTTTTGACATCCCTGAAGAGCCGCGAGGGTTTTGTACGATCGAAATTTCCGCCGGTTCAAAGATGGGAACCACTGCTAGGTAAATTCCGATCCGAACGTCTCAGCAATGCCAATCCGAATTTACAACGGCACCGAGGGGGGGCTTAGCAAACAAACTTGTAGAGCAAAATTCCAGGCCCGGCAGCAATTGATGTTCACTTTATTTGTTGGAGCTCGGCGCCCCACCACGCCAGCACCTACGCCACACCATCCCTAGCCGTACAAGCAGCATGTGTGTGTTGTCCGGCGAGTTGCTTTGCACTTCAGAGCGGCACACTCAGTTGCGTTGAGTTCGTGAGTTTCCTTCCAAGAGATATGCTGCGATGCTTCTGCTCCGTTATGGGCTGTTGTGATGTTCCAGCGATTCGGTCAACGCCAACGAGCTGTGCATATGTCATACCTTTACCAGGTATGGATATCGATGCCAGCGAAGCAGTTGGGCTCTAAGCATCGAGCGTGCGCAGCTGTGGACTTGCAACAGAGCAAGAACGTGGAAGCTTGGAGATCATTCATTTGACCGAGGCGATCATCTTCACGCTAATGGATTCGGATCGGGACAATGCCGACTGCTTGCACTGCAAAGTTGCAACTAACTGTAAGCTTCTGGCGAAATGCACGAAGCTTCGGAGAGGCTGCCACTTGCTCGTTCGAACCCGGTGATGACCATGACGTAGGTGGTGCGGGTGATAATTGCAATGGCACTGGCGACGGAGATAGTGGCAATGTATTTGCTGAGTCGACAGCATTCGCGGGCAACTTCTTGGTAAACATGCGAGCTGAGGAAGTCACGATTGACGAGTTTGTGGACGGAACGATGAAGCTGAAAGGGTCCTGCCATTCAATTCTCTTGACGAATGTCAGCTTGTGGAGATGCGTTCCGGGAGCGAAACTACCTTGCGAGGCATGCGAAGAGTATCGACATACTGTCGGTCATGTACGACAATGCCAAATTTCAGGCAGATTTAAGCATCGGCGCAGTGCCCGATCTGCGACTCTCATGCCGGAATGTTCTCGGCAGGCGAAATTCAGCATCTTCTGCTCACACGTCGAAGACCAGTTGGTCGACATGAAGAACCTCATAAACCCAGGCATCAGCAAGGTTGCTGCACATCGTGATGCCCAAATCTTTGCAGTGCTAGGAGCTGGTGACAAGATGGAGAGGTGCCGGTCAGAGGGCAAGAGTGAGGGGACCGTCAGCTTGCTGCGCGATCGGCTTTTCAGGATGTACCGCCCAGCGAGCCAGCAGGTTGACTACGTGAAGTGCTTCAACAAGCTGCTCGGCAGAGTCAGGCAGCCAAGCCTGCATCCCGTTGACTTTGAGCAGCAAGCAAGAGTCCTGAAACAATCTTCTATACTGTCGGTATGTACATGTGATAATATCGACAGCTCATAGCCTTACAACGAAGCATGAAGCTCTAGGTCCGAGGCACTCCCGAGGCTATGGAACGTTGAGGCTGACATGAGGCTGACATGCGTCGGACACGAAAGTGATGTGTGGAAATATCGCAGCAGGTGTGCGCCGCAGACTCACGGGCATAAACAATAGTTGAAGATATTCCTCACCCGACAAGGAATGCACAAATTATCGCTCTACAGGTGGGATACTGCCCATACAGGTTTGCCTCCAATCTCCAAACAGGGGCAGTATCGTGAAGCATGTAAGAATGTTTGTTCGCCAGCCCCGCATAAGCACGTCTGCACCAGCAGCAAAAAGATGATGACCCAATTTCTTCAACGTCCACTTCTCACCACAGATGGGCTTAAACGAGACCCATGCACAAAAGAACAGAACAATAGGCGCACTTGGCATCCTCGACTGTACCACAGCTTCCAAGCATGGCGACACTGAGCTTCCATCTGTTAACTTTGTTGAGCGCATTTTGAGGTTGCGTACAGCCGATCTGGGCCAAACAGCAGAACCTGCTCCAGATGATTTGAGATGTGACCCAATTCTGCCAACCCATCATGGCTAGTTAGCAAGTATGTTCCTTCGCGAGGACAGCTGAAGGCTTTCCCGCTTTTTTTGGGACTCCTCAGAATGTTGGCTCTGCAAAGTGCATATTGAAGGTGCACATAGAGGATATGCAACTTGCTAAAGTTTTTTGCCGCACCCGTAGCCATTGCATGCATGCAGTGTCACGGCTGCCATCCATCGTTCGATACTAGCGGCTAGCGAATCACCTTCCGATCACTAGTTAGGCTGACCTGGGGAGAATTATTTTCAAACGGTTGGACTAGTTTGGGTGCAGAGTGCAAAAGCACTCTTCACCCCAGGTGGAGACAGAATTGCCAGCAAACGTCACCGGGCACACATTGGTCCGCAGCAGGTCTCGTGGCGGATGATTTGGTACGCCCACCGGGATACCAAACACTGTTTCGACGAGGAAAGGGCTGCGATGTGGATAGGAGTCTGTGCTTGTAGTAGCGTGCAGTTCAAGGGCCGAGGCAGAAACCTTTGCCTTCTCCCGAAGAGCTGCACTAGGTCCCTAGGTGAATGAAGGCCAGACGGCGGATTCCAAAATCCTGAGTGCATTGCGTTTTCTCGGCTCGGCATGATAAGCAGACAACCAGAGAGATGGTGTGGGTAGCTGTTGATGATGTGAAAACGCTTCGTGGTTCTACCTCTGCTTGGAGCCAGGAATGTTCTGAAACCAGTTGTGCGCGGTGTTTGACTGAGAAGGGAAGGGTTTGAGCATTTCTTGTAGGATCAAAAGCTTCATGTGGACCCAGGTGGTGGCTTCCTTTCTCGTCAGCAGCTGCCTTCCAGGAGGCCGTGTCCAGGCCATCGAGGTCTAAACTGAATCATCATGTTGATCAACAAGATCACTCGCATCTGAAGCTCAAGCATGTAACGGCAATCAGCATGTTCAAATGATGGCTCCAAATATGCTGTGTCGTGTGGTTTCGGGACTTCAAAGCTCCTCGCACGCCTCACGCACAGCCTCCTCTACTTCTACTGTGCGTGCTATACCCGGACTCAACTTTCATCGGAGGGCTTCGGCATGCATGTGTCAAAAGCGGTTTCAACAACAGGCGTGATTTGGATAACATGTGTGTGCAAGAGCTGCTGCTCGGAACAGTCAACTTGCGCCCTCCCACAAACCTAGCATGTGCGGATGCGGTTTCTTTCAGACGGGCAAACTTCGCAACGCGCATTGAATATCAAGGGCATTTGCAGGACATGCGACGCTCGCCACTCCAATGCCACGGTTTTCCAATGCCTGGTTCTAGCCAAACTCTGCGGACGTGGCATTTTTTGTGCCGTTACACTACTTTGCCAATGCTGGTGATCCCCTTTGTGAGGGTCCCCCCTGAAGAAGTCCCGAAGTGTCATATGCACGCCTACGCGTTCCGTAGGTCAGCATGCTTAGAGCACCTGTGGCTGCACATCGTCTCCGAAGGAAGATATCCTGGCAAGCTCCGACGGCTAGCATAAAGATCCGGCTGCTTCAAACTCGCCTGTCCAGCTTGTCCGAGTTCTCTTCGCGTTGTTGTCGTAGGAACCAAGCGGGGTGGTTGAGTCAATCCGAGAAGCCTACTTAGAAATCTGTGAACGTATTCTGGACATCTGCAAACGGCAAGCCGGGCCTGGCTGCCCAGCTTCAGCATGAAGACAGGCTTATTCTTTCCTAGGTTTTTCCGGACCTCGTCACGATGGCGATGCTGATCAGGGTTCAACGACGTAGTAGTTTCCCGCATCAGACATGAATTGCAATGGCGATGGTGATGATGAAGATGACTACGACAATGATGATGTTCAGCATGATGTCAAAGATAATCCGATTGTCGACTCGCCTCGCCGTCTAGAGCAGCATAACATCATGAGCCGTATCACCGGCAGCAGGCACAACTGCAAACAAGGCCAACCAAAGCCTCAGCTAAGGGGGTGCAGAGCCCACCACCACCACAGGCCCCACCCCAGACGGGGGGGACCAGAATCCCCACTTGATAACCCAGAAGCCTTTCCAGAATCCCTGGTTTGCAACCGGTTGCGAACGCCTCTTAACAAACATATTAACTGACAACGTCGAAGCCTGGAACCTCCAGCATCCTCCTTTGCAGCAGCCATGCAGGTTGGAAAGCCTTGCTGGTTGCAATGCAGGCGTTCTTAAGCCGAATCCTAGACATATGTAGGTATATATGTATATAGATACGTGTGTCTGTGTCTGTGTATACACACACACACACACATATATATATATATATATACTTATTGATTCATACACATGTATCTTTATCTTGGCTTGAAGGTGTGTTCGTAGACTCGACGGGGAAGACTAAGCACTACTTAGTATCTTTATCTTGATTTGCAAGGTTTTGAGTGGTCGTAGACAGAGAATACTAAGCAATACTTAATGTCTCATCTTGGTTTTAGCGGGTGTGTTTTGTCGTAGACATGGTCTCGCAACTCGGAACTAAAGACCAAGCCTGTTTATGAAATCCCAAAAGGCCTTAATCATAGTAAGACATGCAGACAGACATGCAGACG